TATATACAATAATGAACAGTCCATTAGATCCATTAGAACATTCTTGTCAATTTATGTTAAAGTTGCATGGGTGAAAGCAATCTCATAAAACGGGGTTCATAAAACACACTGTTAGCATTAACAGTATGATTATATCATCAGGAGAACATCTCCATAATTGAGAGCATGCATGAGATTACAACTTGGTGAAGATGTCATACTTGGATCCCGTAAAATGACAATATTTTTGAATGCTTCTTGATTACGTAATCTCTGGGAATTTCTTAAATGAGCAATCATGCTTAAATGAAACGGCTACACACACTACCAAGATGTGCATATGCATAGGTGTTTTGTTGCTACCAAACTTTTGAATGTGTAGAACCAAAGACTTCTGAGAAGATCCGAGAAGCTAAACGACACAGACTAACCTCTTAATAGCCTTCACTAAATACAAACTTTAAGGATGCATGGATTGCAGGGAAGTAGACCAGCATATGTGACGTGACATGTGGCCAAGTATGGTGACCCATACTCGGAATTAGTGCTCTGCATTTATCCCATCCTAAGTGCACACACACACCGTGAACACACACCCAGAGCAGTGGGCAGCCATTTATGCTGTGGCGCCCGGGGAGCAGTTGGGGGTTCGGTGCCTTGCTCAAGGGCACCTCAGTCGTGGTATTGAAGGCGGAAGAGAGCACTGTACATTCACTTCCCCCACCTACAATCCCTGCCGGTACGAGACTCGAACCCGCAACCTTTGGGTTACGAATCCAACTCTCTAACCATTAGGCCACAACTGTAAAAATAGGACAAACACATTTTAACACTTCCAATTTCTAATTTATTAAAAACATATCATAGCCTGTTTCCTATATTTTTTGCAGGGCTAACAAACCTTTACAGTCAGTTAAATATCCAGAAGAAGGCCTAATCTCCTGTACTACTGTTAAGGTTGGTTAAAGGCTAAAAACACAACACTACTTTGATTTCAGAGGTCATACAGAAAATATGTTTCACTGTGCAACTGAAATGATTTAATATCTCACATTGTGAATGACAAAACATATCCAGATTTCAGTTCAAAAGGTCACAGCTACATAAAAACTCTCTGAGCTTTCAAACAATACACAGCACATAACTAGTGCGCGGGAAAATCATAAACTTAACTTTAAAATAAACAACTTTTTTTTTTGCAATAACATTTAAACAATTATTGTTAAGCCAGTGACCTCAGAAGAGAAAATCAGCAATTAAAATGTTTGTCCTGTTAATTTAAATCAATGCATCCAGTACACTTGCTTTCCATTTTGCAGCCCATTGAAAATAGAACACTGGCTACGTTTACATGCACAATTTTTGGTTCAATTGGACTGAATTCATTCCGATTGATGAATCTGAATGTAGTGTTTACATGAACGCTAAATAAAGTGATCGGGTTGATGTGCGCATTTATATGTCACAAGCTTCAAATCGGAATCGATTTTTTTTTACATGCGTACACTGCACAAATATGCAGTGCGAGTTTCTCACTGTTTGCAAATAATAACCACTTTCCTACACGGTTTCTTTATTTGTTTTTAACAGCAGAATTAATATTGATCAATTTATGGATAAATATACTTATAAACCGCTGTGCCGTGCTGCTCACATTTATCACGCCGTAAAAACACCCCTCCCCTTGCCCAAAACGGGTTGTCTGTGGATGAGAATCCAAAACAAGGACTGGTGGTAGGTTGTCCTGCTCCACTTCACAGTTGCCGAGTGAAAGGAGAGTTTTGTAATGACAGGACACGCATTTATACAACACTTTATTCAAAAGGAAGAACTGCTCGTTCCGCGCGTTATACGCCACTATGCTATTTCTGCATCATTGCACACACGCAGTCCTTTCAGTTTCGGGGTTCAATCCGATCGAGTGTTTACATGCACTCTCAATCATATTAGAAAACGAATAAACCACCCCTTTCAATCCGGTCGAAATGTCATTCCGACTGAGCTCAATCGGATCGATTAAGGTCTTTACATGAAGGCTTTTCAGTCCAACTGAGCCGTCAATCCGATTACAAACGGATTATTTGGTTGCATGTAAACGTAGCCACTGTCCCAGCATGTTTCAGCGTGAAAGAGTTCTATGAAAGTCATTCAAAAATAGGACAAATTCTATATTTCACTGAATTCAACAGTGAATCTGCATTACCTGTATCCCAAGCAAACTGTAAAGCCACAAAGAGATGATCCTAATGAAACGGGCATTGGAGATGCAAGCTTGAATCGGATTCAAAACAGCCCTGCCTTGAAAGGCACAAGTAGGATTATTTTCTGGAGTCTGGACTAAAATAAAAAAGCTCTAGATGATAAAAATGACTTCAAAACGTTTGTAAGAGAATATCAGAAAATGCTCAAACACTTTTATACAAGCAACTTACATTGCATTTTATCAGTTCATGCAACAATTCCTGGGAATCAAACCCATGATCTTGGTGTTGCTAGCACCATGCTCTACTGTTTGACTACAGGTAGATCATAGCGCTGTCAACGCCAAGATCAAGGGGTTTGAGCACCAGGGAAAGCATGAACGAAGAAAAATCATACATGCAATCCGTGTAGTTTTGGATAGAAGCATCTGACAAATGCATACATGTAAGACATTTTTGTGTTATCAAACTTTCAAAAGCACAGCTAAATTTCATATACTATGCCAAATATGAAATAATTAGAACTGGTCCATATAGCAACAACAACAACAAAATTATCTCTGACTTTTGCCAATATTACTTTGTTGTTTTTATTTATTTTTTCCAATCAGATAATCCACAATTTCGACCAAAGTGCCACTGTGGCCAATTAAATGCATGACATGATAATACAGTAAAATACGGGGGGGAAATGTTTTCAATGTCCTGAAAACATTTCAGCACATGAATATTGCCACATAGAGACAATGCTCTCGTACAGCCAAGCCGCAAAACAAGATAGCACAAATCTGGCCGAAAATCATTGCATATACATTTGTGAATATCTGAAATATCACCCAGCCCTACTAATAACCACAATTTTTCAAAGCTTAACTATCTAGACTAAGCTGTTTTTACAGAGTGAGACGCTGGTAAACAGAAAGCAGCTATGGTATCAGCAATGAAGCAAATGTGTGTTCCCAAAGCCTATTAAGGTCTTAGCTAATCCAGACTAGCCAAGATTTATCCAGAGTTAGGCTGACAGTTTTAACTTGTTTAGGATGGGCCATTAATAGGATGATTGAGCACCAACAAGCTGCTTTTTTATACTTCCTTTGGTGGCACAGGGATAGCATATGGGAGAAAACTTTTACTTATTAATTCTCTCATAGGTCAATCTCATGTATTTTCACTGAGGTCACAGAGCCACATAGGAGCCACTGTGTCCTCAGAATCATTCACTGTTAGAGAACTGCTCCTGTTCCTATCCAGAGTTCAAGAACGATTATGCAAAGCTTGGTTTGAGTTGACAAGCTCTCGTGGTGACAACTTCAAATAAAAGGTAAAATAATCCTGCTTACAGGTTCACCAATGTTTCAATTAACAGATTCAAAATAACAAAAATCGAATTTTCAAGACAACTGACCCTTCCTTACACTACCCCTTCCCCCCGGTTAAATGCATCTACGTCAAACACATGCAGCCTCGTCGGGAATCCTATAGACCTTAAATTTCAGAGAAAACATATTTTACTAAAAAGAAATCATATTGTTCATGGAAATCTCAAGTTCATTCCAATGGGATGTTCTGTAAAGCTTCTCCGAGTTGGCAACTGTAACCAAGGTGGGCAGAGTTAGCGAGGGTCAATTGGACTTCTTTTCCGCAAGATTTCACCAAAATTCACACTTCTGTCCATCTCTCCCTATCAGCTCACTGTTTCATCCTACTGTATGATCCATTTTAATACGGGCAGCTCATTTTGTGGTTTCAAGCGGAAAAACAGTCCTGACTAATAGGAAATGAATGAAGGCTGTCCGTGTCAGATATCACTGCTTACCAACTCACTGAGTCATAGACAGAACAGCAACCAAACTTCACGGCTTGATAAAGCATCCAATTCTCCTTCCTTGGGAGTAACCAGAGTCCAGTGTGCAGAGCACTCACGCCCTCATAAGGCAATAACTGTCCACCATTTTGAGATAATTCAACCCAGGAATAAATGCTAAAAGTGCAACCCGATCCAAATTTGACAGGTGGCACAGACTGATGCGGTAATGCTCCCAAGATGCACACGGTGATTGATGTTTTGCACTCAAGGCTGATACTTACATACTAATTGATTTTTTTTCTCATTAACTTGAAGATTATCAAGGGGGGAAAAAAACATCATCTGGACCTACTAAAAAGCATTTACGTCCATCACTAAAGCAATAAATGCTCAGCTGACATGCTCACAAACCTCAGCCTGATTTCCCTAAGATTTGAATACTGTAATCCGACAGGATTCATGCAGCTGCACAAACCACAAAACATTCTCGTTTAATTTGCACTTACTGACACTGTGCAAAGCAACACTGCCATACAGTAGTCATCCTCGATTGTACATTTGCACATATTCCTCTCTAGCTGCATGCAACATGCAATATCATACAACAGACTACTTGGGTTGACTCGTAACACAAAACTGACAGCTACAAAAACAAACCAGCCAGTGTACAACCATTTCGTCTCTGATGTACACTAACATGTACATGCATATGCACACAACAGAGAGCATGCTGAGATTTGTGTGCTGTTGCATGCCAGGCCCTGCCCAGCATTCGGCCCGCATATGCTAACGCGCTAAGGCCTTAGCACTATTCGCTAACGCCGATAGCCTTTAAACTATTCACTTGGATTAAAAAAGAAAAACATTAACCGCAACCGCCTCAAATCTACGCTACAAAACCGCCACCACAATAAAAGCACCACAAGTCACCGCTGAAAACCACAGCGAAACCTGTCGACTGACTGTATATATGCGTGTATGAGTGAGTTTAACGGCGGCGGCGGAGCTCGTACCGAGCAGGAGCAGCTTCAACTCCCGTCTCGAGTCGCGTTTGTCTCGACGCAGCTGCTTATCGATTTCGGCGTTGATTCGTTTCGACTCCTTGGCCTCTTCGCTCAGGCAGCAGGCCATCATCGACTCTAAAGTCATCCCCACTGCTTTACTGTACACAGCCCGGCCTCGTCGGGGCTTCAGAAACGAGAAAAAACACACACGAAAATATCACTCAGTCCGAGTGGCCGCTGGAAAACAAAAAGGCGGGTAAAAATGAAATAACCCCCCAATCGTCCTCTGAGGAAAAATATTAAGGGAAAAAATGAGAAGGGAGGTGAGGAGATGATCTGAAGGGGGGTTGAGCGTGGGGGAGGGGGTCGGGGGCTTCGCGCGCTGCGTTCAGTCCTCTCGCGGTGAGCGCGAGCCTCTACCCCGCGTGCGGACCGCGGCAAAATCACGGAGGTAAGAGAGGAAGAAAAAACCGGGAGGATGAGGAAGGGAGGGCAGCGTCGACGACAACGACGAGGAGGAGGAGGTCCGGGAGCCTTATCTCGCAAATGATTGAAAAATCCAGGGGAAACTATCCTCGCGTGCGTCGCGACACTCCCACAACGGCTCCGCGGCGGCTCACCACCAACACGGGTCCCGGTGAAAACGGGACAGATCGCACAGTCGCGACATCCACTTCCCCTATGCCCCCCTCTCCAGCCTTATCCACCCCTTCAAATGGAGGAAAAAGAGATTCCTCCTCAGAAAAGGTAGTGAATGAAGCGTCACTGCTTCACAGCGAGTAATTGAATAATGCCAAAAACGTTCCCTTTCGTGTCGTTTTGTTTCACAGGAGCGCTCAGCCACAACACTTGTAGAAAAATGTAAATTCCTAGAAGGGGGAAAAAGCCCGTTGCCTTTAAAAATGGATTATGGCATTTTTTTTGTTGCAGATGACAGCAGCGTCTCCTCCTACATCAGCGGAGCTGCGTGCGCACACTAGCGTGACTCCAAACGGATGATTGACAAGGAGCGAGGGCTCGAGCAGGAGCGGGGAGGCGGGAACTGTGAAGAAACCCTTCTGGAGGCGGATAACAGGAAGGAACTGTCAAGTTTGGTCGACGGCACAAATCATTCAGGCGTTCAGAAAGTGCTGGCTTGCCGAGGTGTGTCGCTTATTCTGAGGGAATAGTGTGCATTGAAGTCTCGCATTATAGAACATATTTCTACATATATCATGCATAGCTCGCACTGTATAAATATACTTTAATGATCCCAAAAGGGAAATTGTGAATACGATTTAAAATAATAATAATAATAATAATGAAATGAAATAATTATGATCTGCTGTTTCACTTATCAGATATCACAAAGCGTCTGCTAAATGACTAAAATAAATAATGTAAAAATCTAATTAAAAAAATGTGAATAATGGTTATTAAAGGGAAAATATGAGTATTCGATTATTATTATTATTAGCATTGTTATGATTACTACTTTTTTGGAGCGGGGAGGCGGGAACTGTGAAGAAACCCTTCTGGAGGCGGATAACAGGAAGGAACTGTCAAGTTTGGTCGACGGCACAAATCATTCAGGCGTTCAGAAAGTGCTGGCTTGCCGAGGTGTGTCGCTTATTCTGAGGGAATAGTGTGCATTGAAGTCTCGCATTATAGAACATATTTCTACATATATCATGCATAGCTCGCACTGTATAAATATACTTTAATGATCCCAAAAGGGAAATTGTGAATACGATTTAAAATAATAATAATAATAATAATGAAATGAAATAATTATGATCTGCTGTTTCACTTATCAGATATCACAAAGCGTCTGCTAAATGACTAAAATAAATAAATAATGTAAAAATCTAATTAAAAAAATGTGAATAATGGTTATTAAAGGGAAAATATGAGTATTCGATTATTATTATTATTAGCATTGTTATGATTACTACTTTTTTTTTTTTACCTGACTAGCCACTAGTCTAAATATGGGAAATAGTAGTCCCATATTAATAATAGTAGACTTTGTCTTTGCAGTAATACAAAACAACATTTTTGCTATTTCACAAATCAAAAATAACTTTGCACAACAGCAGTCATTTGCAGAGTAAAGTGCATTAGACCCTGACAGCAGAGGGCAGCAGATGTTTGTGATCAATAATCCGGTTCTCCTGTTGTTCACATGTTGTTTCTTCAAACAAAAAGAGGGCACTGTTTGACTACAAATGCTCTAAGACATGCATACTTATTCAACCCTGTACAGATCCAATTTAAGTTCCATAATTAGTCCAACAAGTCTCAAGAACAGTTTAATCTTTTTTTCATTGCTATCAGAACTGAAACTCACTTCACATATCTTTTTTTTTTTTACCTGACTAGCCACATGGAATTTAAAATCTCTGCGACTGTCAGCACATCATTCTAGAATTACTGTCCCTCACAAAACGATAGTAATGTAAACTTCTTATTTATGAAGGCAGAAATTAAAGAAGTTATGAAAATCTTGTACATATAACAAGAAATATGACAAGGCTATATCTTGGTATCGCCTGTGTAGGCTGTTAATAATTTAACGGTGCTGTAATTAAACATCACAATTGTTGAACTCTGCCTACATCTAGTGGGAAAATCTGGTAGTACATGTTGAAAAATGTATATTCATGTTAATCAAGTCCTCCTGGTGGATGCTGTATGTTATGCAGACATTCATATTTAATGTTAAGATGCATGGAAATGTATAAAATATAGCAGATGAATACATCTATACAGAACACCTATAGTGCTATCATGTAAATCAATCAAATAATGTAGACAAAAAGATGCACAAATTTATTTTTGTCACTACATAATTCCCATACTTCCATGAGTTATTCCATACTTATAATGACTATTACTCATACGATTAATCCATTATGAAAATCAAAAAGGAAACAGACTTATTGTCTTGTTAATTATGAATTATATCAATCACGTAAATGGCAGTCTATGTTTTCAATTCAAAACAATGACATTTGACAAAAAAACTAATAAATAAATGGTAAGTAGTATGCATCCCTCGTAAAAGCTGTCAACTTGTTTAGGTATTTACATCTTACCTCACACTTTTTCACCGTTAAAAACAGATTCTCCCCACTGAAGCCCACCTTCTTTGATTTGATGGGTCATCTCAATCATTTTGACATTGACGATCACTGCTGAGGAAGACCAGCCTAAAAATTTACATTTTAAAACTTATTGTCAAATATTCGAGGGACAATTTGCCCATTTCTAATTATTGTCCCCCTCAGTGTCAATAGGGTCCAATGTTGCTTGGACTCCAGTGTTCTTCAAAACATATTTTGTGTTTTGCAGAGACAAGAAATTCATTCAGCTCTGAAACGACATGAGGATGAGTAAATTACGAATGTTAAATTTTGGGTGAACTAATACTATTACTTTAATCCTTAACTCTAGTCTAAATATGGGAAATAGTAGTCCCATATTAATAATAGTAGACTTTGTCTTTGCAGTAATACAAAACAACATTTTTGCTATTTCACAAATCAAAAATAACTTTGCACAACAGCAGTCATTTGCAGAGTAAAGTGCATTAGACCCTGACAGCAGAGGGCAGCAGATGTTTGTGATCAATAATCCGGTTCTCCTGTTGTTCACATGTTGTGCCTTCTAGCCATTATACATGTGATTTGGGCACTTAACCCTGGCTCTTTCCCAGGGATTTCCTCTACAATTAATGCACGGACAGTGATGCAAAAATATCTGCTAATCGAGACATTCACCATTGGTATCGGGGCCTTATTATTTTGGGCAACAATAGGGCTCATTGCCTTCCATTTCCACTGGCGTCACCAAAAAAAATTCATAATAACAGCATCAAGAAACTATATATATATGCAATATTTTATCAACATTGAAAAGACACTTTACAACAAATAATTTGTTCTATTCTATCTGCAATAATAGGAAGAAATGTAAAGTTATAATGTAACTCTGTGACAGTTTTGCTGGAAACTGATGGCATAGCCTACGGTGCAAAACATTAGTCATTTATCAATCATGACACAAAGACTGTCAGACTTCAACAAAACAACAAAACCTCATCTGTGTCAGCCAGCTTGATAAATTTACCTTGCTGACAGAATTGGCAAAACGATATTTAAACAAAGTTGCAAAGTATAAAAACAAATGTACATGTTCATCGTTGATGTTAATTATTGGACCAAGGACATAAATACTGGCCTGTACAGTATAAAAGGGTTCAACAACAAGGATGGTAAGAGAAGTTGGGTCTACTTGTCATCAGTGCATTATCAGTATTTTACATTAATTTTGATGCTTTGCACTGTGAAGCTTTCTATGTATTGTCTATTGTGCGTATATTTGCAAATTCTGCTGATTTAAGAATATGTTCAACCAAACCAGTCACTATCACACTGTTTCAGTATAGTAACATTTGCATCATAATTATTAAGTTAGGATAACTACAATTTCCAACTTACTGTTTTTTAATTATTGGACAGATCTATTGTACATTCAAAGGAAAGCCTTTGGCTTGAGTTGCAGAAGGCATGGGATAACATTAGTGTTGAAGTTCTCAGGAAATATATTGACACTATGCCAGAGAGATGTGCTGCTGTAATGCAAATATATAGTTACACGAATATTAAAATGTGATTGCCAAGTCATAGTGAGTGTCTTTTAGGAAACTGAGTTATAATGCAGTTGCTATATGGGGTTGTTCAAACTGCTATCCTTAAATGAGCAATAACTACACCAGTTGTTGCATAAAAACAATTGCTAAATGCTTTTGAGGTGTTAGCATAGCAGCTCAGTGTTTTGCAAGGTTACAACATTCAACAGGATTAGGAATATTCCCAAATGCTGCAGCAGGAAACGGCCACACAAATACCCAGAGTGCTCAGTGTCTTCTGTTCTTGATGTCAGGATTATTAAAACAGTTCCCACATCAGGGATAGTCGCCGCCAAAAACCAAAAACGCTTTTAATTTCATAGCATAAATTACATGCCAGAGAACTTTTCATCCCGGTAGTTCTACACAAAACACGCACGCTTCCAAAAATCCCTGACAGCATGTTTTTCACAAGTTTGCCGTTATCTCACAGAGAGCGTGGGGTAGACAGGGTCCCGTGGTGAAGGAAAACAGTGGGATATCTCTGGTATCTTGCCTTTTGCAAAACTAAGTCATTAATTAAAACCTCCTTCCTTCCACATCAGAGTCACAGATTGAAACTAACCAAGAGGCCCTTTGCCATTAAGATGCACAGATCCAATTAAGAGAGTGATTAATTGCCAGGGAGGGGATTTAAATAGGAACGGCTGTAAATGAAGGCACAGCGGTCGGTCCTGAAACAGGTCCGCTGGCGGCGAAGATGGGAAATCAAGGAAATAATTGTCCAGCAACAGGAGGCTGAAAGGTTATGGTTTAAATCAGAGCTATAAAGGACGACCAAAATCATACTGCGCTGAGTCCACTAAAATTGTTTTATATTCCTTTTTTACTTTCACCAGGAAAAATCTCATAGCCTTATAGGAATGAACTCTCTTCAAATTCTTCCAAGAACTAATGATGAGTTATGCCACATTAACTTTATAGCTCTATATGTCAACTATTGTCTGGTTTGCATCTTTTTTTAAATTTCCCTAGGGATTTTAAGAGTAACATCCGAGACAAAGCTGATCATTCAACAGAGAACTACATTAAAGGCTCGTTCACACCAATGACAATAACTAAAATGATAAAGATAACTAGAAAGTTTTAATAATTGTTCTAATTCTGCAAGAATAGTAAAGTCCACACCACAATAGCAATAACGACAGAACATAATGATATTGTTGGAATCAATTTCACAGCATTTTTTTTCCAGCTGACCAACGATAAAAACACTGACAGCCAATCAAAATCCATTTTACTTTGAAGCGCTCAAGTATTTGA